ACAATTTACGCGTTTTGCATTTTTTCGACCTTATTCATTTCGAAAGCATACGATTTCGACATTTTGCGTTTCGGTTAAACATTATTTCGAGATTTAAAAAATTTTTAAATTTCGACATTTCTCTTTCGACATTTTTATTTTCGACTTATCGTACGGATCCCAAATCAAGTGCTTTGCAAAAAAAAACTGATAATAATCTCAGTGAAGCTAAACATCAAAAACATCAAATATCTTTGGGCTCTTTGTACAACATAATAATCTCTCTTCGTGCTGATAATGCCCAGGTGCTCAAATCGATAACTGCTTTGCGTGAAGAAAACAGCAAACTTGTGTTGAAAGCTGATAATATGCACTCTGATCTGCTTTCCATGCAGAATTCTCTGCACAGAAAAGATGATACAATTGATTTGCTCAGGGCTGAGGTGAATAAACTGCGATCTTGTGTAAATACCGTTGTCCAGAGGCTTAGTAGTGCTAATCTATCAAAAAACGTAGTTGGTGCTGCTAATTACGCTCTCTTGCCTACGTTGCCGATTTCTTCTACCGGCTGCCCTGCTGGCAGTACGGTGTCTCAATCTGCTGTCTCTTCGCCTGTTTCTCTTTGTGACGCTACGCAGTCATATCTCACCTATAGTGCCGCAGTCGCTAACACAAACAGTGTCAAGCTGCCTGTTGCTCTTTCTGCTTATGACGCTACTCGATCAGCTGTTACTCTTAGTGCTGCTGCGCCCGCAACCTCGGCTTTATCATCGCCTTCATCTCTTTCATCGGCCACCCTGATATCTGTGGATGTAAACAACGACACTAACACCAACAAAGCTAAGCTGCCTGTTGCCACTCCCACACATTTAAGTGACGCTATGCTGTCCGCTGCTCCCACACTTTTGGCTCTATCTTCGCCTTCGTCTCATTTGTCGCCCACCCAGCTGGCGGTGGATGCTAATGTAAACAACGTAAACTACAGTGGAAACTACTTCTTCTGGTACTAGTACTAAACCATCTCCCACAGGTTGGAAGACTGTTGCTAATAACAAGCGCTTGAAGCTGAAACAACCGCTACTTATCGGAGCTAACAACAGTAATGAATTAAGTGTCATCCCTAACCAGAAGTGGCTACATTTATCCTCATTTTCGCCCACAGTCACCGCAGCTGAAATTATCAGTTATGTTGCTAAACATGCTTGTGTAGACGCTAAATTTCTTACTTGCTATATGTTAGTAAAGAAGGGTACTAACTTGAATGATCTCAAAAAAGTAAGCTTCAAACTAGGCGTTTCTGAGTGCAGCTATGAGAAAGTGATAAATAATGAAAATATATGGCCTGCAAATGTTAAAATACGACCCTTTCGCTTTTTTCAAAAAGTCGATGCACCAGAACTCAAGTAGCGCAAAATTTAATGAGACGGTTGGGAGCGCTTCCAATTTGAAGTTGTACTTCCAAAACGCTTCGGGCATTCGTACTAAATCTGAATTAGTTCGCAATTTTAGTTCTCAGCTCGACTATGACGTTTTTGTTATTGTTGAGACGTGGTTGAATTCAGTTTTTAATGATAATGAATTTTTTGACGCTAACCTTTATAATGTCTACCGAAAGGATAGAGACGCTGCGAAAACTGGATGTTTAAGAGGAGGAGGTGTCTTAATTGCAGTTCGTCGCAATCTGTATTCGTATTTAGTTGCGCTTGATAATGATAATTCGCTTCTTGATCAGATCTGTGTATGTGTCACTGGCTCGTCGTTCAACGATTCCTTGTTCATCATGGCTTCCTACATTCCACCAAATAGTAAGGATGACCTTTATCATGCGCATGCTGATAATATCAACTCTCTAGTTTTGAACAAACTTGGCGACAGTCACTTATGTGTTTTAGGTGACTTTAATTTATGCAATGTGCGTTGGTCGGACACTTTTTCGAACTTCGGGCTCACTCCTAACAATATAACTGCCCCGCATGAGTCTAAATCTTAATCAAATTAATAAGTATGTTAACAAGTTAGATAGAATTCTAGATCTAATCTTTGTAAGCGACAATATAATCTGCAATATTGAGGAATGTTATTGTCCTATGTCTCAGTCGGACATGCATCATCTGCCACTAATACTGAAATTTGAATTGTACAAATTTTTAAAATCTGCTCCTGTTAAGCAAGTTATCTTCAATTACAAGTCTTGTGATTTCGGCAAGCTAAATAACTCGCTTTCCATGCTCAATTGGGATGAATTACTTTCAGGACAGGATGTTTCTAATTGCTATTATTCTTTTAAAACAGCGTTAGTTGATTTATGTAGGGAAAATGTGCCTATTTTGAAAAATAAACCACATAAGCTACCATGGTATAATCGGGAGTTAAAAAAGTTAAAGAACCTTAGGAATAAATTCTTCAAGAAGTTTAAAGTTACAGGAAATCAGATTTTCTTTGATAAATATCAGAAATATGCTAAAGATTTTAATTGCTTAGACAAATTCCTTTATAAAAACTATATTTTGGGGGTGGAGTTGAACATTAAATCTAATCCAAAAGCTTTTTGGCAGTTCATAAAGTCTAAGAAATGTGGCTCTTGCATTCCTTCGACTGTCTTTTTGGACGATAAATGTGCTAGTGGCCCTACTGAGGTGGCGAGTCTCTTCGCTGAATTTTTTAGTGCCAACTATGTCTGTGATGATGGTAATTCCTGGCCTGATATAAACCACGATTCAGCTACGGAGTTCAGTTTTGGGACTCTAACTCTGTCCCTTGATGACGTGGAAGCTGGCATTTCTAAGCTGAAACCGTCTACGAAAGCGGATGTTGATGGGTTTTCTGCTCTTCTCCTCAAGAACTGTCCCGCTCTAATTCTACCTCCACATCGTATTTTTAATTTGTCTCTTGCGTCGGGTGTCTTTATCGAGGATTGGAAAATTACTTCTATTAACCCTATACTTAAGAGTTTACGAGCAATTACAGGCCCATTTCTAAACTATCAACTGTATCGAAACTTTTTGAATCTATAGTCAAAGAAAAAATGTATTTTATCACTAAAAGTTTAATCCTGCCTAACCAACATGGTTTTGTTTCCAATCGATCTACTGTGTCTAACCTAGCTGTATTTTGTGAATACTGTATGACGTCTCTTTCTGCAGGTTTCCAGGTTGACTGTATTTATACGGACTTTAGTAAAGCCTTTGATAGAGTCTCTCATTCGATTTTACTTAATAAGTTAGCATATCTTGGCTTCCATTCTGTTTTTTTGAAGTGGATTAAATCCTACTTGATCAACAGGCGCTGTGTTGTCTCGATAGATGACATTTCGTCAGATGCATTCCTTGCCTCCTCTGGGGTACCCCAGGGAAGTATTTTAGGTCCTTTACTTTTTATATTATTCATAAATGACATTAGCTCATGTTTTTCATTCGCAAATTTTTTGCTATATGCCGATGACCTGAAAGTATTTTCAATGATCAGAAACGAAAGGGATGCTACTTTGCTTCAGGCCGACATTAATAATCTCAATCTTTGGTGCATAAAATCACGCCTCTCTTTAAATATTAAAAAGTGCTTTAAAGTAACTTTTGCAAAAATTCATAGTCCTTTATCAACGAGTTATACAATCGCGGAGTCTTCGGTAGACTCTGTTGCCGAGGCCAAAGATCTTGGCGTCATTTTTACTTCAAATTTTTCTTTTAGTTGGCATATTAATCTTGTGATTTCTAAATCCTTCTCTGTTTTGGGTTTCGTGAGGCGGAACTGTGTAAAATTCTCTGATCCCTATACTATTAAATTACTATACTCATCTTTTGTTCGTCCCATTTTGGAATATGCTACATATATTTGGAGGCCATTCCACAAAACTTTTATAAATAGGTTAGAACGTGTCCAAAAGGTGTTTCTTAAGTTCGCATTGCGGTCCTTAAACTTTTCGGATCCTATACCACCGTACAGTAGTCGTTTGTTTTGCTTAACCTTAAGTCATTGGAAACGAGGCGTTCTGTACTTTCCCTGACTTTTGTTTTTAATATTATTAATGGTAGTGTTGATTGTCCTTTTCGCTTAGGTCGCATAAATTTCAACATCCCTCAGCGAGTCTTGCGTAACATTTTGCCGTTCTATTGTGAAATCCATAGAACTGAATACGCGCGCAATGCCCCCTTGGTACGTACCTTAAATGAGCTTAATTTGATCTCGAATTCTATCTCACTTGATTTCTCTTACTCAAGAAATTTATTTATTAATCTTTTGTATTCTTTCTTTTGAATCTTGTATCCAGTTTAATCAATAGTTTTAGTGTCCTGCATATATTAATTTTGTAACTAGTCTGTAAGAAACTACTGTTTCATAGACGAATAAATAAATAAATAAACATTACCCACTACATTATTATGTATTATTAAATACTTTCAATAAAGAAACAATTCTTATTAGAAAATAAATATGAATCGTTTTATTTTAAATATTCCAATTTATATTTTTTGTTAATGCAGATAGTGCGGATTTAGCGTATTTTATAACCGTTACATGGGGAATATAAATTTAAGGCAGATTTCTATTAACAATTTTGTTACAATTTACGATTGCAATCAATTTCTTTCAAAACTATAATCTAAATAATTGCAAGTTGTATTTTTTTCGATCAAAATATAAATAATCAATTTTAATTGTAATCAAAACAAATTCAAATATTAGGTATATTATGCAAATGCAATCCAATTTGATTTGAGTTAATCAGTTTTAGATACATTTATATTTCTGTGTTCATATGGAATAATAGCTTATGTCGGGAAGCTGGATTTAGTATAATCCGCCATTCCTTTTATTCTTTACAACACAAGGAATTTTTCGATGAGACATAACAAGAATATTGACTAGCTAGTATCGGAACTATTTTTTTCACATTTATTTGCCAAAATTTCTTCAACGGCTCGGCGCCAATGAGTCATTCGCAAGGGTATGCTGCGAATGCCGCTTTATACTAAAGCCAGCCTTTCGACATAAGCTACTATTCCATACGAACACAGATTTCATTAAATACTCAAATTTTACATACAAAACGGAGCATTGATAATCTATTACTGATACCACTTTTCGTCGTCGTTATATCATAATCTAATTTTCTCATGGTTCTTCTAGTGGGGCACGTGCGAAATGTGGATTTTCCCAGCTGCAGTACTGCAGTAGCTAGACACCTTCCTCACCAACAGCTCTGTCCTCTATTAGCTTCTTAATGTAACTGCAAATGAATGAAAAGAAAAAAAAGATGGAAATTTAAGAAAAATTACGGGTTGACTAGTGTACATCGACATATGTGTGTTTTAGCAAAACTATAACGACACTAATAATACTAATTACTAATACTAGTAATTAAGTAATTTGTTGTTTAAATTTTTGGGAAAATTTTAGTAGACGGACTGCAAATTCTAGGAAAAGGGGGGATTAGGGGGGGAGGGCGGTTAGAATATAACCCCCTGATTTCAAAATACCCCCCTTTTTTCTAGCAACCCTATCGTTCTTATATAATTTATTGTTAAACTTTTCATATAAACGATGAATAAGATAGCAAAATATCATAAAACTTGGTGCTGCCAGACTGGAAATTTGAATAATAAAAGCGGAATTTTCACTTAGTAGAATTCTCCTTTCTGTGTTGCCGGATTTTTAATTCGGAATTTTCACTTAGTAGAATTTTCCTTTCTGTGTTGCCGAAGAAGAGGGCGATGAACATATTTTACAGATAACACCTTTCTGCGTAGGCGGCCTTCGGCCGCACTTAGGGATTATAACCCTCACTAAGGAGAATTCTCCTTTCTGTGTTGCCAAAGAAGGGGGGCTGAACACCTTTTGCAGAGAACACCTTTCTGCGTAGGCGGCCTTCGGCCGCACTTAGGGATAAACAAATTTCATTTATGGGCATTTTTTAACAAAAATATATGTTTTTTAATAAACAATATTAAAATAGCAAATATTTACGCCTGCGTCGATATTTTTTATAATATTTAATATTTAAAGAAGGAAAATTTGGAATAAAAAATCGCGTGATCGCCTTCGGCTCTATTAAAAAAAAAAAATTAATAACCTAAAAAAAAGAGTAACCAGTAACCATAATAAACATCACTGGGGCGGCGCCCCAGGTTTACCACGCAGAAAGAAAATTCTAGTTACCTCATCCTTTCCCAAGGCTACATCACTGGGCCGGTAGCCCCAGATGGTGCACACCAAAAGGAGAATGCTATTTGGTAAGGGTTATAATCCTAAAGCGCAGTCGAAAAATACTGTGGACGCAAGTAAAAATTGTGATGATAAATCCTCTGGCAGCACCAACTTCGGTGTTCAGTTGCAACCCTCGCACGTTTACTACTTCACTACTTTTATAAATGTTTTATCGTGGTTAAATTAACAAAAATAGCATATTACGTAAAAGAAAATGGTAATTCTCTAGTATAGGGTAACAACCCCTAAAAAAGGTCCGGAAAAGTCGGGAGGGGTACCAAACGACGCGTTTCGGTCCCCCTATTAACAATCCGGAGGGGGAGGACTAACATTATTAACCATTTAAAAGTTATGAACAAAAAACTTTTATTAAATTTCGTTGTTTTCTATGGGCAGTTACACCGACAAAGATTCACTAAATCACCTGTTCTCACTTTTTAAACACTATTAAAATATATAATTTAACTTATTTATTAAACAAACACATAGTTTTATCAACCTAAGATAGATTATTTTGTTATTAAAAATAAGTTGACAATCTTTGTGAACTGAAACGCGAGATTCGAAAATAGCTATAGTGCAGCCACTGTATTAGTATTTCGTAATAATTCACTTTTCCTTACAAGGTG